TGCTTCAGATTCTTTGTCTCCCTCTCTCTCTGCCCCTCCCCCACTTATGCTCTGTCTTTCTCTGTCTCTCTCTCTCAAAAATAAATAAACATTAAAAAAAATGATTTGTAATCCATCTGATAGCTATGTCTATCCGTGTATCTATCTAGAAACCAAAGCACAGAGAGGTTGAAAAATTTGTTAAAGATCAAAAATTAGTAAGATGATACGTAAACTCAGTTTATGGGCTCAAAATATTAACAACTTTAATACAAAATTGGCTTGTTATAAAACAGCTTGGATTGTGTCAGTTTCTGCCAGTTTTCAGATGAATGAGGAGTAGGCAGACACCAGAAACTTTGAATATGCCATTAATCCACTAACTGCAGTCATTCTGTCAATATTAATGGATAAATTTTATAGTCCTGAAACTGTTTGAGGGCAGCCTAGCTCCTTACACATGTGCTCACAAGGAAAGTTCATATCTTCAAAAGGCAAATAGTTTTTCTCTTTGGAACAGGACTTGGCATAGTGCTGGCATATGGTAACTGTGAGGACAACCATCTCTTACAGCCAGACCAGAGTGAGTCAATTTACGATTTGAATAAACTTCAAAAGCAAAGTTATAACTAGTATTTGTTTTTCTCAAACAACAGGTCCTCAAACAATAAGTTCTAAGTTCTCAAAGATTTACTCTAATGTTGAAGTAGAGAAGATGCTTTCCTATACTCCATGTTTTCGTTTATATCATACAGGTTTGTTCCTTTGGTATTGTATTTTAAAAATAAATTTTAGGTAAAAATTTCATTTTTATATTTTGGATGTATTTCTTTTTGAATTTGGTTCAACTATTTTAAGAAAAGGAAGCATCCTGTAATGATATCATTTGAACTAAGCCAATTTCTTTTAGAAGCAACAAAAAATTTGCCAGATGTTGCTATTATGAAACAGTGATCTAGCATTTTAATTCATCTGACACCTGGATATACTGGCATAAACAATGGCTTTTTATATGATGAGGCAGTTCTAATTTAAGATCAGTACTTCATCTGTTTTCTTTGTAACTCTATTAGTACTAATGGACAAGTCTAGGCAAATTTCCATAGACTGCCTTTTGGCATTCAGCATGTTAGAAATGGTTAATAAGCAGTGAACACATTCCACCTGGGAGTTTCGCTTGCTGCTGCACAATTTTGCACTTTTTTTTTCTTTTAAATGTTGTTGGGCCTGGCTCTGTTTTATGTCCCCGAGAGACTGAGGACAGCAGTAATTCGAATTGTCTGGCAAAATCCAGAGTCATGTAAAGCACTAGTGTTCACTTGAAAGGTATTCAAAGAAGGCGTTTTCTAATGCCTAAAACTAGTATGTAGGAGATGATGAAACACTACCTTATAATTAAGTCAGCAAGAGTCAGAGCACTATTTGTTAACTATAGTCTTCTTAGTCTTCTGTTTTTGAATGAATAAACAATCCCTTTTCAGCACAAAGTAATTTGCTTCACCAAAGCTGATACCTATCATAGTCAAGCATCCTTTAAATACTGCAATTAAGGTCATATGCTCGCTTTGCCATGACTTGCCTGCACTCAGGATATTATGTGTGAGGGTACTAAGGCAAATGAGAGTTCAGGAAAATTTTTAAAAATTCATATTTTAATTAAAAACATCTTAACGTGATACAACCAGATTTGAATGAATACTAAAGGGGTCTTTAGACCCTGAACAATATTATTTTCTACAGTTTGTGAAGCATTCACCTACAAATAAGTGAACTTTCATCAAAGTTCAATTTATATAGAACATTTGAATTTTGACTCATTATTTAAAATGAAAAGTTGCTAGAAATACACCTCAAGTTGTTTTATATAACTTAACATTACATAGTTTTAGCATCTGTTATAATGTATTCTGAAGACAACAGGAATATAATTCCTACTTCATTTTAGTTTATGTTAAGTTACTTTGTTTACATCACTTAAGAGGTACTCACAAAATACAGGTTACTTTCAAACATTCTAGACTATTCACACTCCTACACACCACCAACAATAAAATATAAGCATTACATTTCAAGTAATTATTACTATACTCGGGATACAATAATGTTTTCATTTTCAAGGACAGTATGTCTTCCATGAGAACCTCTCATTTCTTACTGATTGTGAGTGGATTCTTTACCTGACTCTAATGTTTAGGTATGCAGAGTTCTGCAAGTTGAACATGGATATTTAACATATGTAATAGTGCATTTAACTTAAGCAAATATAGCCATACAAACTCACCCCCTGCAACTCTCCCTTAATTAAAGGAAAGGGAGTTTTAAAAGGTAAAAAACTAAAAGGAGGTAGGGAGAAGGAGAGGGGAGACAGTAGCAGGTCAAGAAAATTCAACACATTTGTGAATGATGAAAACAGAAGGAAGGACAGCAGTAAATGACAGAAGATGAGAAGCTACACTGGGATGCCTGTAGGATGACAATGATTTGAGAAGGCAACAGCTTGCCCTGTAAATCCAGAAAGGCCCAGGGCTCAGAGGCCCCCAAGTGCTGAGTAACATATATAGGGGTGAGATGAGAGCCCCAAATGAGGACTAGATGTAAGTTTATAGAGGAGGTGGTGAGATCTCCAGGGTCCTTTCCTACCCCAGGCAGTCATGTGATTGTCTCCTTGAAAGCAAGAGATTAGAGGTTTGTCCTCTGGAAAAACCAAACTTGATGGGCTCTGGGCTTGGGAACAGCAGGCACAACTGGGTTGGTGACAAGGCTTGAAGTTGAAAATAACATGGAAAAAGAAAAAATCTGCACACTCAAAAGGGATCTTCCTGGACCCATTTCTTGCCTATTTCTAAAAATCAGGCAGTCAGGCTTATAAGTATTCTCTGGGTACCAGACAGACAAATTTTTCTCTGGAGAAACCACATAGCTGCTGTTTTCTTTTTCTGGAACTCCAGTTAACTGAGATGTTGGACTTCCTAATTAAAATTTTGTTTCTTAGGTTCATTGAAATATAATTTACATATAACAAAATTTCCATATTTTCAGCATATAGGCTGATCGATTAATTTTGGTCACTGTACACATCTGTGTAGTCACCACCACAAATAAGACAGAATAGTTCCCTCATCCTAAAAAGTTTGCTTATGCCCTTCCATCGTTCTTGACCACTGGTCCCAAGAAACCACTGATCTGTTTTCTGTCACTGCAGTTTTGCCTTTTGTAGAATTTTCTATAAATTAAATCATATAATGTGTAGTTGCTCTTACCTGCCTCCCCATACCTCTGTCAGTTACACTGAGAAATAATTGACATGCATCACTGCATAAGCTGAAGGTATACAGCCTAGTTCATTTGCTAAGTGATCTAAGAAGGCAATAAGCAAGATAATAATAAGAAGTGCTTTCATGAAGAACTCCTATGCTTTCACCTATCTAGATGTGAGAAAAAAGATGCTTGCTCCCTCCCTTGGTCTCAGTTAAGCTTTCTGTTTCAGAGACAATGGGGCTCCAAATGTCTTCCGCATCTATCTGCCAAAAGGAGTATGAAATAAAAAGACTAATATTAAAATAGTAAACAAATATATCATTTGCTGCAAAGATTTAAAATGTAAGCTCAACCTGGTCACCAGCTTCTCCAGATGCTGCTTGGACAGAATTAATTGAAATTATTCAATAGATCTTTTCTTTAAGAAGCCGATTAGAGCAATCAAAAACAACCACCAGAGTGTGTATGTGGGGGGTAGGATCAGGGGGATGGAAAGTTGCAGGTAATGGGTATGGAGTTTTTTTTGGAGTGATAAAATGTTCTAGAATTGATTGTAGCAATTACACAAATCCGTGAATATACTAAAAACTATTGAACTATACATTTTAAATAAATGAAAAATTACGTAGTGAATTAAAAGAGCTGATCAAATTATTAATAGACTAAAAAACCAAACCAAAACAAAACCCATATACCAACTTGGCCTCTTAAAAACTGAGAATAAACTGACAGTTGATGGGGGGGGGGTGGGAGGAAGGGGAGGGTGGGTGATGGGCATTGAGGAGGGCACCTGTTGGGATGAGCACTGGGTGTTGTATGGAAACCAATTTGACAATAAATTTCAAATTAAGAAAAAATAATAAATGAATACAAACTAAAAAAAAAAAAAAAAAAATAGAAGACTTAGTTCCAGTTTTGGCTCCTAAAAACATTTCCACCTTTCCTTCCAATAGGTACCTGAGGCCAATCATTCCAAGGAAGCTCACTGTTCTGACACATATGTTTGATATGCCAGAACCCATTCATTTTGTGGTGCAGATGAAACAAAGCTGGAAATGTCAGTCCTGCTTTTCCTAGGCCAATTTAGCAAAGCCAGTGCCAGGCAATTCTCAAGCCCAATCCTGATTAAGGCCCCATTAGGGAGTTTATATCTTATGTGCATGAGATGAAGGCAGGAGGGAGCCTAAAGCATTCACACCTCCCCCACTCCCCTGCTCCTGCTGGGTGGGACTGGATTATATACCTGTGTTTCTGTCTGGTCCTTTGATTAGCCCTGAGTAGGTCACTGAGTAGAACCGAGCCAGGGTTCTCAACCTCATAGGCTTGCCTGATTGGGCCCGGATTCTTTCTCTAGGGGTTAGGCTCTACCTTCTATATTCCTAGGCACAAGCTAAAGTCCTCTCAAACTGGGAAGACCATCTGTTGCATTTCAGGCTCTGCCATTACCTAGAGATTTTTGCTGTTCTACCATAGGTCAAACCTTTCTGGACAACAAACCCAAGTTTGCTCCTCTTCTTGGGAGATGATAATTTAGAGTGCTGGCCACTTCACATGGGGGCCAGCCTAATAGCCAACTCAGTTATCCTAATTTCAGAAACCAACTAGTTCTCTTCTTCTCTATTACCAGCAAGCCACTGCTAAGATTTCATCAGGTCCATCAGAGTCATGACATGAGGATACCTGGCACAGCACTGCAATGGCTCAATAAATGCTAGTTCTTTTCTTTCCTTCATATCAAGTCAATTTAAGCTTGCTCTACTTACCTGGTGTACACAGTCTAAGAACTGCAGGAATATGGGAGTAAAACCACTACCCTGACAGTTGAGAGTCAAGCTGCTCCGCTGACTAAATTTATGACCAAAAGAGAGCCACTCTTTTTCGACCAACATCCGGAAGCCTTCAAGTGTCCTATAAAAGGGATCACTGAGTAACTGAACCAAGGATGTCACCTAGGGCACAAGCAGGATGGATACTTCATTACTTTCAGTCCTGAAAAAATTTTGTTAGTAAGACAAGCAAAGTCACCTCAACAGCAAATTTGTTCACTAACTGCTCCACGACAGCCAATCAAATTAATTCTGCAAACTTTCCAGCAAAAACTAAAACTCAGATTCATTTTGGCTACATGTTTTCTTTCAGAAATTATGATTTTAATCTTTAGCTGGCCAGTTTGCTGACTGCAGCCCTCTCCTAGGTTAATTAATAAGGCCAGAGTATCAGTTCAAACCTACATCTACTTTTTGACAGGTATAGATTAATGTTTTACTGTAGTTTATATTTATACTTTTCCTTTTCATGTGGAGTGGGTAAAGGAGGGGCTTATTGAAAGCCAGGGAAAGGGCTGATAAAACTAGGAAGGATGATCCATGTCCTACCCTCTGATCAAGTGCTCCATTTGTATGCTCACATGGTGTATCTCTCATGTGGGAGCCTGATGCCCTGAGCCGGAGCTCCAGGCTATGTTGTGCTGGGAAGCTCAGGACTCAGAGCTTTCTCATGGATACTAGGTGTTTTTAACACAGGACTTTCTCTGTCCATAATTACATTAGTCATTATACAAAAGATTCATCTGCAGAACTTAAAAACAACTGAATTTTGATACAAATATAAAACTAAGTATCTGAAAATATGTTTTAAGAGTTTACTTGTGCAGTGATGTCCCAGCCTTCCTCCAAACAGACCAAAACTGAGGAACCATTCTCAAGTACTTCTGATATAACCACAGCCAGCTGCATTATCCTGTGAAGCTAAGAGATAAGAAAGGAGGCCACAATTAGACCAGGCACTTTCTGAGCACCAAGAACACACAGACTCATTATCAACCTTAGATAACAAAAACAAGTTAGGGATAAAGTATTTGGACAAAAGAACCATGTAAGTTTTAAATGCTTTAAGTTCTTTGTCAAAATCAAGATGAAACAATGACATAATTTAAAAGCAGACACATTTAAAAATAATGTGTTCAAATGATATATCATGAAATAAACTGACCTTACATGATCTCCTCAAAGTAGAAGAGTTATATAATTCCATAGAGTGGAAAAGAGAGATTCTATAAGTGGCCCTACCAAAACAGTTACTGGATGTAAAATTTGTTTTTCTATGATGTAGTCAGTTCTATTTCAGATACTCTTAATTTTTCTGCAATTAGATAGTGAGGATGGTTGCACAACTCTGTGAATATACTAAAAAGCACTGAACTGTACACTTTACAGGGTTGAATTTTATGATAAACGAATTTTGTATTTTAAGAAAGACACTCTTGTTTGTACTGTGTATTAAATGGGAAGAAGACTCAGATTTGTGCTCAGCTTTTTAAGCCAAGCCAACTGACTCAAAGTCCCTAATGAACAATTATGCTGTGAATAGAGCATAGAGATTCAAAACCAAATGTATATTGTAGTTTAAAACTATATTTTAAGTATCACTTGATGCAATTTGTAGATGAATCCAACTTTCAACTAACACAAAACAAAATTAACTGCCCCATATTTTAAACAGAGCTAGGCTATTTTAAACCCAGGAACAAGGCACATGTCCTCTCCAGCAATGGGAAGCTCCTCACTGTTCCTGTAACATAGCCTGAATTCTCTTGGGCTTAGCATTTGCTCTAAGTTAACTTTTAAAATGCCAATATCCCAAGTGGGGCAGTATTTTCCACTGTTTTTAGTCACGAACTTCTGGTATGAATCTACTTTGGAGTAAGAAGCAGAACAAAGAATGTACCAGAAGCACAGATAGATAGGTTGAGTGGTAGGAAGTTTGGGGCTGGTGCTCATAGCTTAGGGACAGAAGGGAGTTTTGATCAGCTCCTTCCATGAGTACTGAAAGTATCTAGATTTATAGCTAATTGTATATATGGCTTTTTTTTTTTTTAATAGTTTAAGTATCTTGAGAATAGTCACTGCCCTGGGTACTCCCATCATTTCTTGGCTTATGGAAAACAACTCTTTTTCCTCCCTAAGAGAGGCAGGAGGCTTGGAGGCAGATGGGAACAGAGATCAGAGGGGCTGGGAACTCCTACAGGGGGCAAAGGAATAATGGGTATAGCATCAATGGTTTAAAAACAAGGCTGAAGGGTATATTGCAGAGATGCTTTGGCCAAATGTCTGCGTCAGTGTCTAAAACATGCATGTCATAAATACCTTTCTTATGTGGTTTGGAAGAAATGTGGGTTATGTGTGCTGGGATACCTATTTCTCCTTAATTTCTCAGTAAGAGTTTAATTAAAAACATCCCAAGTTTGACTTAGCTGAAGAAGGGATATGTGTTTTTTTTCCTAAACTTTAAGTAGGCTTTGGGGCATCCAATATGACTCTGGTGGATGGTTTGAGGGTGAATCTAAAATCTACAGACAAGGAAAAGGCAGAGACACATGGAAGGTGAGAAAGTAAGAGGGAAAGGCTCTTGGAATCATCTAGAAATCAAATTGTGTCCCTGGATCCTTACTCTGCTGACAAAAGAGCAGAAGTCCTATAAATATTTGATTAAATTTGCTGCATATCAAAAAGTTTCCATCTAACAATAAAGATCTCCTCCTTAGCATCCTGTGAAGATTAAGTTTTCAATTAGAAGAGATTGAAAACCCAGGGATGAAGAATTCTATCCCCTCATCTTCTATATCCTGGAACTGAAAAACCTTTATGGAGTGTGTACAATAAGGAGAGAATGTCAGGTAATAGGGGAACACAATACTTTTTTCTCAAATACCAATTCTGTATATCCACTTGAACCTCTTGCCTTGAGTTATAAGACACACTGCTCTAGACATTACCTGTGGGAACCACTCAGAATCTCCCAGGGCTTTCAGGAAGGTCACTTCTGAGTCAGTAGGGATGGTGCTTGGAACACAAGCCCTCATCAATTTTTTAAAACTGGCTTTTACTTGTCGGATGTCATGAAATTCAACAGGAACAAACTCACAATTTAAAGCAAATTCTAACTTGAAGTTCTGTGGGTGAAGATGCATAGAATTAGGCATATGAAGTGCTATAGGTAAAAGAGCACTGTTTTTAATGTCAATACTTGATGATGTACAGTTAGTTGAGGCCAAGTTGCTATAGAGGTTGCAGAGGTCAAGAAAGTCAATCCTGTGGCTAATGTGTCAGTGTTACTGGAAAGAGCCATTCAGTAAGGTCTTGTGGTTTGACTTGGCTTGCTGTCATTCTGAGAATTTGGAGAGACTACTGGTAGGCTGGAACCTGCTGGAACTTATAACACCAAATATAAGCCAATTATAAGGCCATGAACCTGGAGTCTAAAGAGGAACCAATGACACGTGGACAGCATGATTAATCCAAAACTAAGTCTTCCAAGATATACACTGTAATGAAAAGGTAATATACTGTTGAGGTTTCAGAACTCTACAAATTAAAGTTTGTGGACATACACATATTTGTTTCTTATTATGTAAGTAAAACATAGTCATTGTAAAAGTGAAAAAAAGTAGAGATAAACATTGAGAAGGCAATAAAAATCATCATCTCACTGCCCTAACACTATTAACATTGTAGTACTCTTTTAAAGTGAATATACAAAATTTTATATGTAGTAAAATCTGAAAGGCTTTCTGACTTTTAGCTTTGGAACAATATTTTTTTTCACACAATATGACACATGTATCAATATATATTTATTTGAATACTTTTATCATTTATATCTTTAATCCATATGGAATTTATTCCATGTGTGGTTGCATTTGTAATTTATAAATGCTAAATTGATGGCCCTTTGATCTATTTTGTTTTGGTAATCTTGTTGCTTAGTTCTGAGGATTTAAAAACTCTCAAACTTCTCATGCCAAAAAATGAGTTAGTTTTCTCAGACTCTTTGCACTTTCTTCACATTCTGCCCAAATAACTCTATTGTATTATTTTTCTTATTTTTTAATGTTTATTTATCTTAGAGAGAGAGAGTGATTTTCTATTAGTTTTTTTAAAAACTTATAATAGATAGTTTACTTTCCAGGAGAACCAGGTTCCTTTCAATTTCTCAACTATACATGAGGTAGGTATGCTTATCTTATAAACAAGAAACTATCAACCATAGTGTTGACACACATTAGGTCACAATGAACTTGTTACTAAGTATAAGGTATTAAAGTATATAAACTGAAAAAGGTAAATAAGGGCAATTCAAGTTTATTTAGAATAAGCCACTCTCTACTTCCTTGCGTTTCTATATGTCTCCTTTGTGGGGAGAAGAAAGTATCAGGTTGCAACTAGACGGCACTAGGCTATCCAGAATGTGGCACATGTCAGACAGGTAAGGACTACACTCTATAGATACAATTCAATAAATAAAAAGAAAAACTTGAATGGAATATACAAAAATCCTAATTACTACTGTGCCAGGATGGTAGAATTATGTATATATGTATGTATGCATATATATATTAAAGTTTATTTATTTTGAGAGAGAGAGAGAGAGCAAGTGGAGGAGGGACAGAGAGGGAAATAGAGGATCTGAATCAGGCTCCATGCTGACAGCAGAGAGCCCGAAGCGGGGCTCGAACTCACAAACTATAAGATCATGATGCTTAACCAGCTAAGCCATCCAGGTGCCCCAGTGGAATCGTTTTTAAAATATAATACTTTACTGATAAAAGAAAGAGAGAAAAGGAGACAGACAAATAGAATGATAGCAAGAAAGAAAGAGAGAAAGTAAATAAAGGCATGAAGGCAGAAAGAAAGAAAAAGAAAGAAGGAAGGAGGAAGATGGGTGGCGTGTAGGGGGAGGGAAGGGAGGAAGGGAGAAAAAGGAGCATGAGTCCCAAGGACTCAGTCTTTCTTACTCATATATACATGATCATACAGCTAAACTGAGGACTGATGTGCAAAGGCAATGGCAGAGGTGAGAACTGAGGAGACAAACCTTGGAAAGTGATTCAGGTCATGAATAAGTGCTGTGCTGAAGTGTGGAAAGTCTGTGCTCTGGGAAAGACACTGGTGCCAAAGAGGCTGTACAGGCAACCCTGGATTACTGTTGAAAAGTGTTCCAACTATTTTCTGGATATAAAGTTATCTGCTGTATCAGAAGACACATGTGCATACTTAACAATTGAGCACTATACCCAGCAGTTTCATGCCCTCTCCCCTAAAGGTTGTGACTAAGTGATTGCAGCAGTCCTGGCAGTGGGAGGGGAGCTAGCAAAGCCAGCTTGCCATAGAAGAGATGACGCAGTCATTGGCATCTTGAAAACCGAGCATGTGGGATCCTGCTCACAGCCTCTGCTCCACAGTTCAACTGAAGGTCTGTCTCTATTGCCCAGTGCTGACTGGAGCACTGGGCTAAACTTTGAGGGGATTTCTGAATTAACAAATACTTTTATTTCCCACAAACCTATCAGTAGTAATGAAATCTATTTTGTAATGTGTGAATTGCAAAAACAAACCCAAGGAAGTGCTGCTTTTAGAGGTAGAGACTATCTTTACAATTTATAGGACCTGAGCATAGTGAAGCTCTGTAGCACAATCACTTAAAAGTAAGATAGGGGCGCCTGGGTAGCTCAGTCGGTTGAGCATCCGACTTCAGCTCAGGTCACGATCTCACGATCCGGGAGTTTGAGCCCCGCGTCGGGCTCTGGGCTGATGGCTCAGAGCCTGGAGCCTGCTTCCGATTCTGTGTCTCCCTCTCTCTCTGCCCCTCCCCCGTTCATGCTCTGTCTCTCTCTGTCTCAAAAATAAATACACGTTAAAAAAAAAAAAATTAAAAAAAAAAAAGTAAGAAAAGGGGCGCCTGGGCGGCTCAGTCAGTTAAGTGTCTGAGTCTTCATTTTGGCTCAGGTCATTATTTCACGGTTCGTGAGGTTGGACTCTAGGCTGACAGTGCAGAGCCTGCTTGGGATTCTCTCTCTCTCTCTCTCTCTCTCTCTCTCTCTCTCTCTGTCCCTCCCCTGCTCTCCCTCTCTCTCTCAAAATAAATAAAAATTTAAAAAACCAAAGTAAGAATAAAGTTGATTAGGGCTTCTAATATTTTGAAATTTCTGACATGTCTTAGGACATGTGTGTCTAACCTTGCAAAGTTAAAAAAAAATTAACTTAGAAAACAATCTTGGCCTTCCCTTGTCTCCATATGCAGGGCCACAGCTTTCTTTTGTTCACTTTTCTACCTTCCTGTAGCTTTCTTTATCAATAGGGATCTATTTTGCCAGGGGCACAGATTTCTATGGAAGCTGAACAAGACAATGGAAAAACACAGCCCGAATAAGCCTTATTTCTTTTTTGTATGTACACTTCCTAAGATTCCTGATGTTTATGCTGATTTTTTCGTGATTATGTGTAAGTATATTTTCGCGGCTAATAAATATGCAGATATGCATATGTATCTTGATATAAGTATATGCAGATATACATACATATGTATGAGCTAAAATTTTTTTTGAGATTGATTATTAACTCCAGATTAAGATTCTATGCTGTAAAATGAAATTTCTAGGAAAGCTGTTTGAGATAAGTTTTATAGACTGCCTTTGTGTATCCATAAAGTTTCTAAGTGAGAAAAAGAAATCTTACCCTTAGTTGCGACTTTTCACCAAATATATAAAGGGCCGTTTGGCGTTTCAAGAGCTGGTTTTGCAGGTAGGTGCTGTTACTAAAGGAGGCCGAGTGGTCCCTGCCTGCCAGCCGGGCGCCAACATCAATGAAAGATGTTGGAGAGCTGATGAGGCGAGTGCTAGAGCGAAGACTTGCCCAAACACCTTCACAAAAGCCAAAATAATGGAGTGAGATAACCTGATGTGGGAATGCCACTGAATAGGGAAAAAGATGTATGCTCTGTAGGGACAATTTTAGAGGTAATAGCAAGTTAATTCACCTAAGTAATCATGGATCATATCGGTTATTTGTTGTTTACTTTTGCAAATATAAGCATTATTCAATACAGCATTTCCAAATCACACAATCTTAGGGTTGGAGGGAGCTAACAAGTCACCCAAGTCAATCCCATTTTTTGTATTTTGATGTAAAGTCAGTATTTATAAGTAAATGCTGAGATCACAAATAGAAAGAGTGCACGGACACTGGGAAACAAAAAATGCGGGCAGAAGGCAACAATGTGAAAACATGGAGTGACTCAGTTTCTCAGGGTTTCATGAAAGAAGTAAGGAACACTCTTCTGCTTTAGTCAGTCAATGCAACAAGGAATCTAGATTAAGTAATAAATTAGAACTTTACTATACCTACTAAAATCTAATAAATTAGAACTTTACTATACCTACTATACACACCTAGAATATTTGTGTGTCATGCCCAAATGACATAATTTTAAATTAGTAAAGATAGATTCTAGTCTTTTTGTCCCAGTATCCGTGAAAAATAGAAGTTATAAATTTAGTAATGCGCATTTCACTGATATGTAGGAGCCTTTATTTAAAATTTACAGTCAAAAGCAGATGTCTTCTAAGGGAAAGGCCAAAGCTAAGTTACTAGAAGAATCTCATGTTATAAATGGACCTTAATTATATTAATTAGAAAAATTGCATTTCTACTAAATATTCAATATTCAAACACAAAGGCAAATATTAAGCCTCAAACTTGACCAGCACTGTAGTACCTTCAAAATAACAGAGCCCCTTATAAATGCCCATAGACTACAGCGCTCATGCTGGTGATAGGGTCATTGGGGTATAGGACACTATCACTGCATGTCTATAGTGGGGTTCCTTCTCTAGACTTAGAAAGACTCTTTGAGAAGCTTTAATATTTGCCAAATCAAGTCATGTTTCTAGGGGACTGAAAGTCACCATAATAATGCCTGTCTCATCTGCTTCTTTCTTTATAAGCATTTATAGGGGCAGGAGACCAGTTCCCAAGAAAAGGTTTTGTTTAATGGATTTGTTTTTCAGATATTAGCTTAACATGAATGAATCTTTCTATATAACTTATAAGCTTGTCTTAGATATTATGGCAAGTGTTTATAAATGGAATCACAGAGCAAATTCAGAATGTGGATAAAAATAAAGGACATAATTTGACAAACAAATGTGAAAAAGGTTACTTGTAACAAATATGCTTCCAGATGAAGATGGTTCAAAAGAGTGACACATTAGGACAGATAATACAGTACCTTGATTATGGATTCTTCCCTTAGTTGAAGATTTGGGGTTTGACTGAATAAAACATTTATCTCTGTACCCATGCACTGGTAAGTAAGATTAAAGACAGAAGGAGGAATGAAATGTAGATAGCAGCAAACATCAGAGCAAATTGAGTAAGAGAAGAATAGGTTATTTAATTTTTGAACTTGAGTTAACATGGGGGAAAATGTAAATATAATAAAAGTAGAAACTGCAATTAACAAATAAAAAGCTGCACAGTCACACAAAATAGATGAACTGAGCGCCTGTTAAATGAAATTTCAGCACCTGATTATAAGTATTATAAGCACAATGAAATGGACAGCACAGCAGAGCGCCACTAACAAATTATACCAAATGGAACACGCTTTTGAAGATTGTCATTTGGCAAGAAACAAATTTATATAATAAAATTAAGGAATTTAGAAGGGGGTAAATGTTAGGAATGCATTGGCCCTAGTATTTAAGGAGGCTGATTTATTGGCAAATGCTATGTGTTGTACAACACGTTTGTTCTTTGAGCAAGGTTATCACATCAGGAATGAAGCTCCAGTAACCATTTGGAATAACTAAGGGCATATTTTTGCAGTAAAGCATCAAGCATTGCCACACTATCTTCTTTTTTTCTTGTCATTTTGAAATTACATTTATTTTTAATACAGTTATGAGAAACAAAAATTCATGATCCTGTGACAATACCTAATGCCACTAAAAAATACAGCTTGTGATGACTGAAGTCACGGCTCCTCCTAAAATCCCTACTTGCACCAAAATGATAGGCAGTATTAGAGATAACACTTTTGTAATTTGAGTAATATTGTTTTTTCCCGACAGAAAAAAAGTGCTTCGTGAGTAAGGCAAACTTAGCCTGGTAGTAACAAAAGCGATGAACAGTGGGTTACAGTTAATGACATTATTTCCTGAGCAAAGGAACTGCTCAAGTCAATTAAGGAAAATGACTCTGTATTTATTCAGGATTGAAAACTTTAACAACAGTATTATTAAGCTATATATTGCAAAGCTGCATATGACATAATTTGATAACAGAAAAATCATTAGCAGCGTTACTTCATTTCTGTCTCACTTCTCTGGAAGCAGAAAATGAAGGGCAATAATGGCTTTAGTGGCCAAAGGAATTCAGAAAGCTAAGGGTTGTGAAGGTGCTGGCTGACTGCACACAGGGAATTCTATTGCAAGACAGAACAAAGACCATGGGACAACATGGTAAAAGCACAAGGCTTCCTGTGTGCTGCCCACCTGCTCTCCTTTCTGCTAAGGTTTTGAGCTTCCCGATTGGAATATGGGACACTAAATACTTATAGTGAAGTTTTAGTGGTTGGTTCCTGATTGTGAGATACTGTTCCCTGAACATATACCACTTTTACATGTTAGTCTCTCTACCTGGAACTACTTTTCACATTTCTTTACCTGACAAACTCCTTACCCCTTAAGATCCAGGAACAATGTGAATTCCTAGGAAGTGCATTCTTCACTGTCCCCAGACTTGTAGAGAGCTCTACTTGAACTGTGATCACATTGCATTGTGATTATTATTAGCACATTTTATTCTACTAGATTTTGCGATCCAAAGGGTAGGGCCCTAATCATATTTATTCTTGTATCCATGCTGAAAGCCTAATTTATAGGTATTAAACACATTTGTTGATTATTTTCTTTTTGAAAATTGATACATTATGAGCTGTTGTGGTCCTTCTAGTATATCTTCAACTCTGATTATCTGCCCTGATTATTTGCTCTGATTAATAATATAATTATTATTATAGAGGCTCATTAATGAAAAACTGCCAAGTATTTATCACATAGCAGAAAATCAGCAATAAGAAAATGGGCTGTATGGACATGGGGCCAGCAGAGGGCTTTGAGAACTGTAATCCAATGGGGCATTATGCTAGTGCTTTGGTGGTAAGGTCTACTTAGTTTCCTGAGTGTTTCCTAGGTGTCAAATACTTGTTCTGACCATGTACTACTGGCTTGGAGTCAGGTTTTTTCCCAAGCTGTAGGGTCCCCCTTAATGGTTTTAGTGATCACTTTACTAGATCAAGTTGGTATTTTCAAAAAAGTGAGATTAGAATTTGAAAATACTATGTGCACTGCATGTGGTATAGATACTGTTTCATGAAACTTTTGTTTTAGTATATATACATTTTGCCCTGTGACAGTATTACCTGATATAATACTTATATACTGTAATATAATATAAAATGTATTTTTAACTATGATCATGATCAAAAAAGTTTGTTAGTTTTTGGCCTAGACCTAGAGCATATTTACCTTCTATCTTCTTGCACTAGGCCTATGTAGAGCAACCTGGCTTAAGGCAATTTAAATGCAAATGTAGACTTTTCTCCTATTTCAGTAGAGTATTAGGCAAGTATAACTAATAACAACAACAATCATGGAACTAACGTTTACTGAGTTCCTATTATGAACCAGTTACTAAGCTAAGTGCTTTACAGATATTTCATTTATTCCTCATACTCTAAAGCTAATACTATTTATTATCTGCACTTTACAGATGAGGACCCTGAGCATTAAGAGGTTTCCTAAATTGCTTAATACCACACATTAAGTGGTAGTGCTATAGTTTGAATTTGAATGTAAGTGTTTTGTCATGTAAGGAACCAAGTGGCTCTGGGGCTGTCCAGCAGGGGCTGGCTGAGGGGATTGCTTCAGGGAAGAAGTGGTGCAGTTCACCCCACTGATGGGAATGCACTGGTGTTCAAAGCACGAGTGTTTCCTGAGCACTGGTATTGTTCCTTCTACTCTGTTCAGGCCAAGGAGGGGAGGAAAGATGCTTGGGTGGGATGTGGGGATGGGTACTGAATTTATCCATGTGTATGAGGTACAAGCTATATTCAGTGAATGCTGTATTGAAATGGACTGAACCAATCCCAGTACCAGTTATGCTGTTATTTGCTACGTGATCTTGGCCAAGTCACTTCATTTCTCAGAGCCTCTTAAAACACATATCCTAGAGATTATTACAAGGATAAAATATTACATGTAGAGAAACTGAAGGGCCACAGAAATGTAAAAGATGGAAAATTAAAAGGCTGCCTCCATGTGGCTACTTCTCAAATATACTGAGCTGCTATACTTTTGTTTTTAAGAGGCAGTAGTATTGATTTCCTCATGACATTTTTGTAGTCAACAAAATAATTTATCCAAGTTGTAAGTATATGTATTTTTCCCCATGGGCCTCAAAAATGATTTTAATTCTAAATGAAAAGCAATGTGTTCTATTCACATCCTCACTTTTCCTTCACTGGTTCTTGTGTAAAAAAGGTTGCTTCCCCTGACTTAGGAACTCATCAACATGCACACAGAATGCAAAGTGGTCACCCTGACTGAGAAAAGGGTAAAGGAGAAGGTAGAAGTCAGTCTGAACTCTGGCTTATCAGCAGAGTGAGAAAGGCATACAGTGAAAATAACCTAAGGAAAAAACCAGTACCTAAGACTCTATCATGATGAAAGGAATGAAAAGGTAGTAAAGATACATAGAAGAGAAAAAGGAGAAGGTTAGGAGGAAAATTTAGAACTAGGAGGCTCTTTCCATACAGGGTGGATGAGGAATTTCTGGAGAAGTGGTGCCTCACTATCTGGAAAAATGAAGAGACTCTCCTTGAGGGTAGGAAAGAGGAAATGAACTATTTGCAGGGTGTGGAAATATCCACACCTAGTCTGGCCCTGGCCTATGTGAGTGTGTGTCTGCCTGTCATGGTCATGTTAACAGGGAATCTTCTAAGACTTCCCAAATTGCTTGCCCAGTCCATTCTTGGTATTTAATGTGAGGAGAAATGACCCTGTTGGAAGAGACAAAGGAAGCAGCTCTAGGGATCAGAGAAGTTGAAGACACCAGGAAACAGCAGTATCTTATCTTCCAGTTAACCACTGGGACCTTGGAAGATCTGGGAGGCTTTGGCATTGAGGAATTAGGAGATGGAATAAAAGAGTAAGATATATGTTTCTGGATCCTAGTTTAGGATACCAGAATGATGAGTATCTGGTTAGGAGCAAAAAACTATCATGAGGAAACGCAGTAAGTTCACAATAATTTTCAGAAGAAAATATTTGGGAAGGGTGTCAGAAATAATAATTATGACCTCATTATGCCCAGAATGGATCAGAAATTAAATGGGAGATTTTGACCCTAAGAGGTAAATACAGCTTTTTAGGTACTTTTGAGAATAGCAAAGAATAAACTCATGATTAGAATGTAACCACAAGTGGGGATCCCCTTGTATAAAAAAGGCTGAGTCTGAGGCCAGTATTAAAAAAGAGAAGATAATGTAGGTGAAACACATTGGTGAATGTCCATGAGCCTTAGGTGCTAACATAGAAGATGAGACCATTTTGCATCTGAAATTTATATTACAAGTCATCTGGCCAAATGGAGGAATAAATAATGTGTCCTTGATGAAGTTGACAAAGGCAAAACTCAAGAGCAGAGCATGGAAAAACTGCTGACATGCCTTGCTGACCATATAAACTTGCAGATGCTAAACAAAGCAATAAGGGGAACTGCAATATTGGGCCAAATTTGGATAGGAGCTCTGGGCAACAGAAATACTAGGCAGGAATCTTAGGAGAAAGTCACTGTACTATCTTTTAGTTCAAATTCACCAAGAAAGAAATGAGAAGAACGAGGCCTATATCTTAAACTTTAAAACAATGGTATTTAAAAAATTCCAAAGAAAGCTATGTAGGACTATAATGGGTTATAAAGTTATAAAGCTATATATGACTGTGTGCCTCCACCCCAATTCATATGTTGAAGTCTTAACGCCCAGCACCTCAGAATGTTGCCTCATTTAGAAATAGGGTTATTGCAGAGGTAATTCATTAAGATGAAGTCATACTGGAGGGCGATGGAACCGTAATTCTATATGATCAGTGTCCTTATATGAAGGGAAAATTTGGAGACAGACACAGAGGGAGAACATCATGAAAAGATGAAGGCTGATACCTGGGTGATGCTTCTACAAACTAAGGAAAGCCACAGATGGCTAGTGAGCTACCAAAAACTAGAGGGGAGGCATGGGACAGATTCTGCCTCATTGTCCTTAGAAGGAACCAACCCTGACAACATCTTGATTTTGAACTTCTAGCTTCCAGAAAATGATGAGACAAATGTTGTTGAAGACAACCAGTTTGTGGCACTTTGTTAAGGTAGCCCTAGAAAACTAATACAGTGACCTTTATTTCACTAATTCACAAGATGAGTGAAAAAGGCTGAAAGCTATTAGGAAATCCTGTAATTATAGAACATTCTGATGAGGTGGGAAAAAAGTATCTAAAGAACCAATATGACTGCTAGGAGATGTGCATAGTAATCTGGTTTTTCAAAAGGGAAAAAAGTGAATTTTGTAAAATAAAGCTTTCCTGTATGTTGATTCTGAACTAAATTCTAGAATGGATACTAGTGAATAATTTGTGATTACTTAGGAAAAAGCACTAATTCTTATAATGAGTCATGGTAAACTAACCATATAATCTTTTGTGATATAATTAATACTTGGAAAGACTGGAAAATACCAAATTAAAGAGATTGGCAGAGATTTAGAAATATGGGTCAGGTGAGGTTGAACTGGTATATATTAACAGATCAATCTCTTTCTTCAGGGAAGCTTCTATATTAGTTTGATGAAGACTTTTGCCCTTAGCTCTGGCTGTTTAATATTTTTAAACAACAAATTACATGACAGCAGAGATCAAACTGATGCATGAGAAGAGGCTTGGGAAAATGTCTAATACAGAGGCAGACAGAATTAGGATCCAAAGTCTAAAACAATAGTCCATGTAAAACAAGATGGAATTTTGTAGGTATAGTATGTAGTACATTTAGGTTCGAAAACCAACCCTCAAGGCTAGTACTGTATATTGTTAAGAACAATAGCACATGGGAAGAGATTTCAAGTGATATTAATCTCAGTGTGGGTCAACCTAATGATGGGGCCATCCTCATATCTGATGTAATCTTAGGCTGCATGAGTTCAAATCCGTGGAGAGTTCACTGAGTGACAAAGATGGTGAGTGGAATGCAACTGTTCCAATTAGGGATATTTGGAGTTAATGGAAGCTCTCAGAGAGAAAAGATCAGATCAGTTTTTAAATCTGAAGGGCTGGCATGTGGGAGATTAAGATTTAGAATTTTCTGACTGTAGAGGGCAGATTATGCAAAGTTACATAGGGGCAGATTTTTCGATCAATATGAGAAAGAATTTTCTAACAAATATAGAGTTGCTTACAAATGCAAGGGACTACTTTTAGGAAGAAATGAGTTTCCCATTACTGATGATGTTCAAGCAGAACTTGGATCATTCACTTGGTAAATTTTCAAGGGGATTCAGCATCGCATAGATGTGAGAGAAAAAACCCAAGATTATATAAATCCATTGTAAAATAGGAAGTTTTACAATCAAGATACTTGCTCTGTAATTACCTCTGAAAAGTAAAAGAATCTCACATAATCTCCAGATACCAAAGTGGACCTCCTTTGGGGCTAGAAGAGCAAATACAGGCCTTTCTCTATTTCCTTATGCCAAAAGCTAAAAAGCCCAGAGGGAAAAAAAGAGTAACCTGGATATCATTCTCTTCTGTTCCCTAAACTAGCATTTCAGAGAACAGGAGTAAAAATTACAGGCATTGGGGAAGCACAACTCTTGGAGTCTGGGATTACTTCTCTCTAGCTGCTTATGCTTCAGTGATCAGCCTTTCTACCCTGCAAACCTGAAGCATTGTGGAGTATTCATGGGGCTGACCACTTAGACACGCTCCCCTCACCTCCCACTGCTTCCAAAATCATCAATAGCTAAGATTTCAGCAATTATTATACATTTTGTCCCATGCAGCTAAACTCATCTGCCACAACACCAGTAACAAATTAGACCATTTATTTCGAAAAGGGTAATTAAGAACAATTTGAACCATAATTAGTTGATTTAGAGTATCACTATCTAGAGTAAAGTTTTCTAATTTTAAGGTTGTATCAGTGCTCAGTTATAAAATCAATCTTACTAACCTCCTCGAGCAAAGCTATTGGATGGGTTTACATCCAAATGTCCTGGCACTACCTGCTTAAGCACAGTGGACATTCTTGAAGTCCTCCTTTCAGTCCCTGAAAGTCAGCCAAAAAGAAGAACAAAAACCATGTCGTTCAGGTTAACATTACTCAAATGACAAAAAGTTATCTTCATGTGTAGCATGTCTAATTGCTGCCAAACATTGTACTTTTTAAGTACCCAAAGCTTTAATAGAGATAACAAGGCACTGTTACTATTTCCTCAGAGATACACACATTTGCAAGATTATAGAGAGTTAGGTTTGGCAAGTGCAATCAGAGAATTTAATGATAAATGAAGCAAGGCATGCATGGTGTTACTTTACAAGAAAAGCCACTTTCTGCTTATGTTGAGCTAATTCAAATAGCTGATTAAGCCAAGGAGACCAACTTTTCAAGTCACATGCTCCTGTGTCTAACACATTAGGGTTACCTCTACATGAACCCTTTGGGGTTCCATCACATGATAACTGAAACAGAATATTAGTACAAGTCTTAATGGCTTCATCCAAATCTAATGAAAACAAACTGTACTACAAATCATAAAAGGTTGCAGAAATTTCAGGAATTTCAAACTTATACATGATGATTTACTACATAAGCATTTAATAATCAGGTGTTCAACTTATACATTCCACTTTGTAATAATACTTTAAAGTCTATGTAAAATAGATTCTAAGAAAAAAGAGATGACTTTATTTATGTTCCCCACTCCTATTATTCTTTTAAAAAGAAAATAATTGAATCTCCACATTTGGTTACTGTTACTAGACATTAACAGTGGTATGTTGATTTTTAGGTAAAAGGAGCTAAAGTTATAGTCCCATAGGGTAAAACTTCAAGGGGTCATACTGAAGGAACAGTATAAATAACTGAAGAGACTAACCCAAGGAATGAAGCTTTCATAGTTGTCAAGAAGAAAAGTATTATCAAATCTTACCTGGAGACAGAGCAAGTGCTGGTCTGACAGTAAGGGTGTTATTGCCACTGAGTTTCTGTTGGACAGAAACTGCATTCAGTAAGGCTTGCAAGTATTTTTCTTGTTCTATGCTACTGGAAGATTCTAAAGAGGAGGTAGGAGCTATAAAAGAAAAAGATAGTGAATAAAACAAACTGTCTCTATGTTAAGACATCTACCTACCTACCTACCTACCTACCTATCTTATTCTTTCTGTGTATCTTCAAATTACCACACCCAAATATAGAAACCAGTCCCATTTACAGCTGTAAACTATTAAATGGCTATCTTCCTATGATACTGGTTTCACCACACCTACTTCTTGCTTGCATCATCATCAGAGATGGCTCTGCCATCCTCCCAGAAAGAGCCTAGGTCTGGAAAACCAGCACAGGGCTGTCCTTCCAAGAATTGGTGTAGTTATCCTGTCCATACCACTGTTTGAGAGCAGAGGATGGAATGGGTTCCCTAGGCATCCCAGAATGGCACCCATACCAGTAGTTTTCTTCTAATTCTGCCACAAAGGCCTAACAGGGCACATGAACTTGTAGGAGTCTGTTGCAGGAAGAGTGGAGGAAGATGGGGAGAAGGTAGCAACAGCCACTGCCAGATTCCCTAGTCCTTCTAAGAGAAGGGCAGAGAGGGAATGCCTCTGTGTATGCACAGAGGGAAACAAATGTGAGAACAATTCTGGGTTGGAGGGAGTCTGAGCTGGTTTGTGTGGAACAAAGAATCACTAAAATTGGCCCAGGCACTTTAAAGAGGCATCATGGGGGACTCATTAGAAAGACAACAGATATCAACAACTTTTTTTACATCCTGAAGAAAAAATTAGCATAATTATACTTTATAAACTTTAAGGTGCCATTATTATATTTTATGAACTCTAAGATGTCATAAATTATAAGATGCACCATTATTTTATGTACTAAGAATTAAAAACTCTTCCATTTAAAGGGTGCCTGGGTGGCTCTGTTGGTGAAGTGTCTGACTTCAGCTCAGGTCATGATCTCACAGTTCATGAGTTTGAGCCCTGCATTGGGCTCTGTGCTGACAACTAGAGAGCCTGGAGTCTGCTTTAGATTCTGTGTCTCCTTCTCTCTCTCTCTCTCTACCCCTCCCCTGCTTGTGCTCTCTGTCTCTCAAAAATAAATAAATAAACTTAAAAACAAAAACAACTCTTCCATTTAAACTATGACAACTCTCTGATCACATCAATTTTAAGATGTATCCCAATTTCAAAGACATTAAAATGTGAGCATATGTGTGAGCTCAAAAATATGGAATACAGCAAATTTATATTAGATTAAAAAATCAGAAACCAGTGAATAAAATAGTTTCAACTTTTTCCAATGAAAAAATTAACATTGTCATCAATGATCAGTGATATATCCATCAATGCTCCCGAAATGATTCCCTCACTTTATGTAACTTACATATGCTGTGTTCTGTTATATCCACTATGTGGCTTGGGAGGATTCCTCAGTGTCAAAATAGTTAAAAACAAATTGCCTTTAATTATACTAGTGCTGAGACTCCAAGACAGGCAGGATAATGATGATGATGATGATGATGATGATGATGATGATGATGATGATGATGATGTTGTGTGTGTGCTGCCCTCAGCTGAATGATCAAAGATATGCTAGCCAACTTTTAACTTTCAGGAGGGAAATGGACGAGAATAAAGAAGAGATGTCAAAAGCACATGGTTCTACCCGCTGAACCACAGAACTTGACTTACCTCATTTCCAAAGAGTTAAGAACACCGCCATCCCTAAATTGGATCTGATATGTTGGTGGTCTATTGTTTAATTTTACTGAACATTTACTATAAGCTAGAAATTATGGGAAAGGTCTGCAAAATATAGCTTCTGACTGACTTCAAGACCTCAGACATAGTACTTAAAAATATCCTCGGAAAAAGAGACAGTAGTACTATCTGCTTTCTTAAGTTGGCCTTCTTCTAGCTTCCTAAAATATTCTTTTCTTGAGAGTTTCTTTTAAGGCAGCATTTTGGTCATTGGTTTGTGGACTTGTTTGTGTGTGTGCATGTTACTTGTAGGAATGAGATAAAATATCTCATATTACATGGGTCAGAGAATCCCTACTTGCCTCTGAAGCTGTTAAATATATTTGGATGCTCCCCAGAAGGAAAGAGTAAGATTAGTATACTCTAGTTTCCATCTGTGGATAGTTTGGTTTGCTGAAATAAAAACAGCCTAGAACAAAAGGCTATTATGATAATTTATATTAAAATACAAATATAGACAGACATATTTAGCAAGATGCCAAATTCAAGGTGGAAACCCACATTGTCAAATAGTACATGTTTCATATTGCACCGTGGAGAAGTCTGTGTGCGAGAGAAGGCCTGATATAAGGGCACAATTGACACTCCCAGATATCACTTCCTTTATTCTCAGGAATTCTCTAAAGTGAAAGGATCACAACTGTGCTGTACAGAGATGCTTACCTGCCTGAGGGGAGTTCTGAGATTTGAAAAGACCAACCACTCCCTTCCCATGGAATCCTCCAGATCGAAGAAGCAGGGTACTGCTTTTTGAATTCTTCCAACATACAACAGGCAGGCGATTGTGTCGATAGCAGCGGGCGACTCTTGGTAAACTACTGTCTTGTACAGCTTGAGGTACAACCAAAAGGCCAGGATAGCTTCAGGGACATGGAAAGGAGAAAAAGAATGAATGGGGTGAGAGAGTGGGAATGGGAGAGAGAAAGGGAAAGAAATGGGGAGAGAGGGAGAGAGAGAATATAAGAACATGAGTATCATAGTATCACAGTAATTTTCTAAGACTCAGAAACATACTGGTTGAGGGGTAAGACATTTATTTTCTTTTATTTATTTTTTAAAATGTATTTATTTATTTATTTATTTATTTATTTATT